TGAGAAGTTTTTCTTGTGAATCATCTTACAAATGAATCATCTAATTATTCATTTTGTTTGTTCGCGAAAAAAATATGTAGAAAAAAAACTTCTTACCTTGCTACCAAAAATTTCCATCTTATTTGATCTTGATTCTATATATATATATATATATATATATATATATATATATATATATATATATATATATATATATATATATATATATATATATATATATATATATATATATATATATATATATATATATATATATATATATATATAGAGAGAGAGAGAGAGAGAGACAGAGAGAGAGAGAGGGGTTCAATTGAGAAAAAAAAGGTTGAGAATAGGGGAATCATTCTCAGCCAATCATTTAATGAGCTTAAAAAACACACAGTGACAAACTTGTAAATAATCGAAATACATTAATGAGCGGTGACAAATTTGTAAATAATTCAAAAACATTAAACCGTCAGGGCACTTGAGTAATTTGATAACACATCAAATCTCGACAGAAAAGCACCATTTCCCTCTTCGATACACCATAACACGAAAACCATTTGCAGAAGAATCGATAAGAAGAAAACTATTTGCAGAAGCATCAAATAACTTAAACGAAGAAAAATGTCTTCTGATGAAAACATGAACGAGACCATTTCCTCACTCTTGACAATGAAAGGTAACCATCGACGTTTTTTCTCGAGTTTTTAACGATTTCGAATCATTTCTAAAATTATCACTTGATTACTTGAAATTTCTCGTAATCTTCGATAATTATTAATTGATTTAGAACTAAAAGATATGTTTTCACACTGTTCATTCTTCAAAAAAGGTTGTTTACTTCAACTTTTTATGATACCCGCTCACTCTCGTAACCCTCCTTCGTTATTATTTTATTTACTTGAAAGTTTTGTAAGAATCATTGTAACACCCCATTCTTTTAGTGTTTAATTATGAGTCCCTGAGATTTAAGAGGAAGGGTAATTCTAGTCCTTTTACGAGAAATGAGTTTCATCCGAGAAGGTTTCGGGCTGGTGTATGTGTTAGAAGCATTGGGCTTCTCGTCACTCTCGTATGAATGATAAGTTATTTGGGAACGGGTTTAGATTAGAGGAGTTGCGGTGTTTTGAAGTTAATCATTGTTATAGCTCCTTGTGGAATAAGAGGAAATGGTCCCGTGCATGCATGGCATGCATGCAAGCAATTACTTTTGAAGTCTGGCTGGGTACACCCAGCGTAAGCTGGATGTACACCCAGCGTAAGCTGGACGTACGCCCAGCGTAAGCTGGACATACGCCCAGCGTAAAGGGGCGAAAAGTTGCGGGTGGCCGGGTGAGTACGCCCAGCGTACTCTCAGAAACCCCAAACCCTATTTTAGGGTCATCCACTATATAAGGAACATGTTGGTTAACCCATTAGCCTCCTTATGCTCATCCTCAACCTCAGAGAAACCCTAGATCTCGTGTTCTCTCCATTTTTGGGTGTGTTTGACCCTGGAAAGCTCTTTTTGGCAAAAGAAAGGCTTGAAGGAGAAAAGAGAAGTTGTCAAAGAAGAAGAAGAACGAGTGGAGCTTGTAGATCTGAAGAGATACCATCCTTTGTAGCTTGTTTGAGGTATAAATCTTCTTGCTTGACCTTCATATTGTGTAGATCTGTGCATTTTGAAGCTTTGTCACCATTCTTGTCCCAAAAGTCCTCACCTTGTTGCATGTATCGAATTTGTCAAGATTATCTGTCCTTTCAGACCTTTGGAGAGGTCTTGAGTGAGAAAAATGAGGTCCCAAGGGCTGTAGTTGTTCCATGTGTGAAATATATAGTTCTTAATGGATTAAGACCTTGGATTAAGAGCTTATGGACATCCCAAGTGATAAAGTTTGAGACTTTATGGATTCTAATCATATTTGGCCTAGGGATCTGAAGTTTGGGCTTAAGAGCTTAAGCCATTAAGAGGTTAAAAGGACTTAATGAATATTGCAGTTATGCCCCGCGTAACCCCTGAGTACGCCCTGCGTAGCGGGCTAGTGCTCCATTTTATTTTGTGAACATTGCAGTACGCCCAGCGTACCAAGGAGGGTACGCCCAACGTACTCCTCCTGTTAGACTTTCCTTTTGGGCTTTGAGTTTGGGCCGTTGGTGGATAGTTGGTTATTGGGCCAAGTCTGGGAATTTATGGATAGAGTATTTTGGGCCCAATTATTGTTATGGGCATTGGTTCTAGGCCCATTTGGTGAAGTGGGCCCAATTTGGTAAATTGGGCCAATGTTGGACTTTGTATGAGATTTGGATTTTGGTCTTGGCCCGATATGTGGAAGCATGAGTGACCTAATGTTTATTTTGTTATGATGGTTAGTTCGGGATTTGCGGTGAGTTGGTGGTTCGAGAGTCTGCTTCTTCAGTTCAGAGTATCGGCATTCGCGAGGTGAGTTATCCTCACTATATCGACAGGGTCTAAGGCACCAAGGCCGGCCCTTTATTGGATTGAGATTCGGATAATGTTGTTATGATATTGCTTTGATATGTATGCATCCTGGTAGCTAGGATGGTATATGCTAGAGACCTGGTTAAGGTCGGTTTCCCGATATGTAGAGTGATGTTATGCTAGTGACCGGTTAGGTCGGTATCCTGGTTAGGGTAATGATATGTTATGTGATTTGCTTGATCGGTTTGTTGACTATGAACTGTTATATGATTGTATGTTATGTGCACATGGTTGTTTGGACTGGAGTTGGGTTGAGGCGGGTCCTGCTTTGTGCTGTAGGCCAAGATAACCAAGGCGGACCGGTTGTTCTGAAGGCCTAGTGAGCGGTCCGGATAGGCTGTAGGCCCCACGAGGGCGGACCAGACGTGCCGAGGCTCGGAGAGTGGACCAGGCCGACTGAAGGCCCGATGCGGGTGGACCAGTCATACTATAGACTCAGAGAGTAGACCACGTAGGTTGAAGGCCCGGTGCGGGCGGACCAACCACACTGCAGACTCGAAGGACATGACTAGACACGGAGGGTGGACTGAAGGCCGATACGGCGAACCAGTCACACAGTAGACCGATATGCATGGCTGTTCTATGTTCTGTTATGTTATGTATGCTATTTATGTTATGGGCCGGAAGGCAATATGTTATGGGCCGGAAGGCAATATGTTTTGGACCGGAAGGTCGTAGCCTGGAAGGGCGTATATGTGGTTGGTATTTTGGGGGTATCTCACTAAGCTTTTGGGCTTACAGATGTGGTTTTAATGTTTTTCAGGTTCTTTAGGAGACCGTGGCAAGGCGAAGGCATGATCATACCGCTCCTCGTGTTTATGTTTATGACATGGTTCTGGGAATACTCTGATAATAAGTGTATTGAAAACCTTTTTGTAATAACATTATTAAAATGGATTGTTTTTGAAAAGTTTAAATTGTGTTGAAATTTTTGGTTGTTACAATCATCCATTATTAGTTGATATATAAATGATTTTACATCATCTATTCATTTTTCATCTTTATTCTAAACTATTATGTCAAAATACAAACGTTACTTCACATTTCGCTTATGTTTTCCTAATATTAACTACTTACCCTTACACAAACAACACCAACAATGAAGAATACATATAAACGAAAAACAAGAACAAATCAAAAAGGTAAATAAAATATGTTTTGTTTACTTCTAAACACAAACAAAACTAATATTCAAATGTGAATATGTATGTTATATTCATATATGAATAGAACATAACTTGTTGTCATACATAGATTATTCAAATGTGAATACAACAAGAATTACTTATATATGTTCTATTCACATATGAATATAACAAAACATATTCATATGAGAATAAAAAATTATGAATAAATATGTTTTTAATCAAATATTCATTCGTGAATATGTATGTTATATTCATATATGAATAGAACATAACTTGTTGCCATACATACATTATTCAAATGTGAATACAACAACAATGACTTATATATGTTCTATTCACATATGAATATAACAAAACATATTCATATGAGAATAAAAAAAAATATGAGTACATATGTTTTATTCAAATATTCATTTGTGAATATGTATATTATATTCACAAATGAATAGAACATAACTTGCTGCCATATATACATTATTCAAATGTGAATATAACAAAACATATTCATATGAAAATAAAAAAAATATGAATACATATGTTTTATTCAAATATTCATTCATGAATATGTATGTTATATTTATATATGAATAGAACATAACTTGCTGCCATACATACATTATTCAAATGTGAATACAACAAGAATGACTTATATATGTTCTATTCACATATGAATATAACAAAACATATTCATATGTGAATAAAAAAAATATGAATACATATGTTTTATTCAAATATTCATTCATGAATATAAAACTCATTTATCTTCTACTTACTATTGAATGTAGGTAAGAACACTAATATTTCCGATAAAGATTCACCAACAATGAAAGAAACAAGATCAATGCAAAAAAAATCAAAAAGGTATAAAATACATATCATATCTTATAAATGAATATTCTATATTTATTTATGAATATAATATATTTTCTTTATAAAACGTATTTCAAAATTATTTATCTTCTACTCACTCTTTCATGAAGGTAAGAAGATTTGTATTTCTGATAAAGACCCCACAACTATGATTGAAACGGATTTGAAGAGGAAAAATGCGAAAGGTACAAAATTCCTATCATATCTAATATATTCATATATGAATAAAATTGTATATATTAGTTATATTTTTGTAATAAATAAATATTAATAAATCAACGAGCATATATCATATTCATATATCAGTAACTTATTCAAATATTATATATTTTCATTTCCCAGATAAAAAAGAAACAAAAGTACCAAATAAAATAAAGCATCAAAACAGAAAAAGTCCATCAAAAAGGAAAACTCCTGAAAACAACAACTACAAGATTCAGACTCTGATTTTGAAAGTAGTCATCCATCGAAGAAGGCAAAAAAAAGGAGTCACCAATCAAAAAAGACAAAAAAAACCAATGGTGAAAGAATTTTACTCAATGAAAAAAAGATGTTCACCAGAGGAATTACTATCTATAATCCTTGGGATGAGCAAAGAACAAAAAGAATCTGTAAGATCTATGGGTTTTGGAGCTTTGTTAAAAATGAAAATCACAGATATACCACTGAAGCTGGGATTTTATGTTCTTCAAAATTTTGATTCTGAGAGAATGGTGATAGATATTGAAAGAAAGGAACTGAAAGTAACAGCAGAGTCTGTTCATGACATGTTGGGCATACCAATTTGTGGAACCAAACTTACACAATTGGATCAATGGCCTAAGGATGATACAAGTTATGATGAATGGAAGCAACAATTTAAAAAAGATTCAATCATCCGACTGAGTGCAATAAAAAATGTTATTGTTTTTACCACACAAGCTGATTTCAATTTCAAATTGAACTTCTTAGTTCTTTTTGTCAACACGTTTTACGAGTCAACATCAATGGGAAGATGTAACATGTTTCCCTTGAGTTATATTTCAAGAAAAACAGATATCAACAACATAGACTGGTGCAACTATGTTTTGGACTGTCTTGTCAGAACAAAAAACTCATACATACCATACTCAGATACCAACTTCTTTGTTGGACCTTCAGCTTTCTTGGTGGTATGTTATTATAATGTTTATACTCAATTTTTAATAATATTGATTATTCATAAACTAATAGAAAATATTCATATATGAATAAGAAAAATATATTAGTTCACACGTAATGCTTTACATTACTTATTCATATATGAATAAGTGAAAAATAATATTACTTGTTCATATATGAATATCAATTAGTTATCATTTATGTGCAGTTGTTTTATGTTGATAACATTCACTCATAAGCTTTAACAGTAACACGTAAACATCCAACAATTTGTTATTGGAGTTCAGAGAAGATTAGATATCGAGGGACATTTGAAAAAGAAAAAGGTAGATTTGGACTTGGAGAATTAAATGAAGATTTTGTTAATGAACAAGATGAATGAGATACAGATCTCGAAGACAGTGATTCTGATAAAGATGAAGATCATTACGTTGAGGTAATTAGTTTGAACATGTTAATAATATATGATTACATTAAATTCTAATCATACTTCTTTTTATTACATAGGCATATGAAACAAAAATATCTAAAATGCTTAATAGTTTCGAGAGGATGAATAAAAAGCTGAATTCAAAGCTCAATGATGCGATAACATATTTCCCTGAAAAGGAAAGTTTTAGGATTTTCGAAGAAAAGATGACAAATATAATTGGTGAAGAAAAAACAGAAGGCGCAACTATTTTTGAGTTTCCAATTAATCAAACTGGATTTGAAGGAATCAATTTGACACCAATAATCGGTCAAAAAACAAATAATCAAAAAGGAAATGAAGATAAAGAGGGAAATGGTGAATAATACAATGATAATGATGGAAGTCAACCAGAAGAAGATTATTTGCTTGATTCAAATGAAGCAGAGAATGAAAGAATAAAGAATGATAGAGATAATAATCAAAAACAAGGTGAACCTGAAGTGAAAGAGAAAGATGGAAAGAACAATCAAAATGACAATGATGAAGAGAAAAAAGCTGATGATAATAAAGAAACAAATAATCATGAAGAGACTATTCAACAAACTGAAAATGAAAATTTGTTGGATAAAGTTGTTAACAACATTGTGGATAATGTCCTTGGAATTCGAATTTCAGATTTAAATAGTCAAGAAGATGAAATCTGGAATGACCCTAAAATGAAAACTATTTAGGATAATATTGATATAGGTAAATTTTATCTTACTTTTGTTTTTAAAAAATATATAAAAATATTAATACACAATAACAATTTTGTTTATTAAATTTTGACCAGTGTCACCAGTGAGTACAGGTAAAACTAATACTCTTGCAGAAAAGGAAAAATCAGAAGGTGTACATGAACAAGGAAGAAAAGTTGAAAAAACAAAGGGAGATGATACAGGTAAATGAATAATTTAAAATATAGTACAATATTTATATTGATTTTTTAATAACATCGTTTATTAATAAGTGAATAATACACTATATAAATGAATAAAAAATAAAAAATATTCACATATGATGTATATGTTTCAGGCAAGGAAAACTCTGAAGATAGAAATAAAGGAGGAACAAAAGCTAAGAACACGAAAGATGGAGGTGAAGATAAACATATAAAAACTGAGAAAGGAAATGCAGAAGATAAAGGTAAATAGTTGAATCACTAATAAATGAATATAATAAATTTTATTATTCACAAAAAAATAACGCAATATACAAAAAAAAAATTAATATTTCTTATTCATAAATAATGATATGCATTACTTATTCATAAATGAATACATTACTTATTCATATATGAATTACTTAATCAAAGTTCTTTATCTTTCAGGAAAGAAAATATCATAAAATGAAAACAAGAAAGGAGAAAAAGTTAACAAGACAAAAGAAAATAAAGGAGGTAACAATTTGGATAAACATTTCAAAATATAAACAAAAATTTTATAATTAACTTACAAGTATTTATATGATAAATCTCCTGGCATGTAGATACTCATCCAAGCTTTAGTCTAGGTCTCAGTCAAGATTCAGATCAAACTTCAAGTAAAAAATCTAATGAATCTTCACCAAAAAACCAATTACAAAGAAACAAATCAAAGACAACCATCAGAAGGTTGTTATCAGATTAGCAAAGAAAAATATTCTTAATCTAAATCCAATCTTTGTATCAATTCCTACTGAAGTAGGACCATCAAAGCATGACCTGGATCAACCAAGAGAGAAGAAGCTTGCTGATGCTTTCAAATCACCTTTCAAATACAGAATAACAGACATGAAACCCAAACTGACACATCAGGAGAGTATTGTCTGTGAATGGTTATTCAACTTACAAGGAAATACATTGTAAGTAACTTTATTTTATATACATTCATATATGATTATTATATAGATAATAATCTATGATATTTTGATTATAAATTTGCAGAGATGTGGTTGTCCAGACAAAATATGGTCAGATAACATAAAGAGCAGTTATGGAAAGTCTATATGCAAACACATAGATTTTTGGAGAAGTTTTAGACACTTGGTCTGATTTACTTAACTACCAAGAACTGGAAAGGGATTTTGGAAATTCAGCATACAGACTCTTCTTGAAAGTTGGAGTTTCTGTAAAATTATGTTCTAACGTTAATTCCTTCCTTATTGATAAATGAATACACCAATATGATGTATTAATTTACGAATATTATATTTTTTACAACTGAAATTCACATATCATTATACAAAATATGATGTATTCTTTAATATAATTATATATATATTCAACTGAAATTCACATATGATTATATTGGTTACAAACTGCTTATCTTACTTCAACATTATCCGATGAAATAAAGTATGAAAAATTCAAGGAGAACTTTCATGACAGTACCAATGGGTACAAAAAAATCTTGAACATAAAAGATATTGACATGGTATGTTAATTAAAATTGTTTTTTTATATATATTTTATCAACAAAATACTTACCATTATATACATAAAAACATGTATTCTTTCCAGTTGTTAAAAGTGCTTACATTTTTGTGATTGTCTTCAACTTAAAGAAACCATCACTTGAAATTCTAGACAACAGTGCAGTTGAGGGGATTATGAAGGAAAATACGGAGTACTATTGAAACCTTTGGTATGTACCCAATTCACAACAACATAAAAGAACCAATTTATTACATATCTAACTTTTATTTTATTTAATGATCAAAAAAATTTGTTTGTGAGATACTTTAAAGAAATAAACTATCCAAGAGCAAATGCAATATCAAAAGAAAGTATCAAACCCCAACGACTTGAAATGACATGGAGAACATTTAAAAACAAAGTTGATTGTGGATTTTTTGCAATGAGACATATGGAGACCTATATGGGACAACCACTCTCAAAGTGGAAACCAAGTCTTCATAAAGAAAGTGCAATTCAACAAACTACTTTAGAGAAGCTCAGGTAAAGGTATGCACACATAATGCTAACTTCTGAAATTAACATGCTGAAGGCTAAGGTGTTCGATCTTGCTAAAAAATATCAAAAAGTTGAATTCAAAGTACGTACTGATCATGCATACAAGGCTATGCAAACAATTCAAAAAAGGTTAAAAGAATATTGATGATTGCTTGTGATGAAGTGTGATGCTATAGAACAGTTTGTGTTGAAGATGATTGGATTTGAAGTACATGTAATACGATTATGTGAAACAAATTTTAGATGGTTTGTTAAATGTTCGTTTTAATATTGTGTGAAATTCTTATGAACAATTGTTATTATCTTGTGTTGAATGATTATGTAATAGAAACAACTTCGCTTATTTCCGTCAGTTTTTTATATTTAAATATTTTCAAAGTTTATTTATGTTTATTCATAAATGAATATGAATATGATATATTCTTTTATGATTAAATTAGGAGTAATATGTCAGTATAACAAAGTTCATATATGAACATAACAAATTTCAGATATGAATATAACTAATTTATGCCATTTTTTATATTCAAATATTTTCAAAGTTTATTTTTATTTATTCATAAATGAATACGAATATGATATATTCATTTATGAATAAGTTCAAAATAATATGTTAGTATAACAAAGTTCGGATATTAACATAAAAAAGTTTAGATATGAATATTACTTATTTATTAGTATAACAAATTTCACATATTTGTATTCATTTATGAATAATTTACAATATCAATATAACTTATTTTATAGTAATTTAAAAAACAAATATCAACATATCAATATAAATGTGTATTATTCATACATGAATATTATTGTTTATTGTTTTTATCTGTATATATTCATATATGAATAAAAAAAAACTAAAAAATCTCTAACTGTCTTTTGCTGATTTAGCAGCTCCAACTCTTTCTAGACAAGTACGTAAATTGTGTGGAACTCGTTTTCAACATCCTGAACACATTCTATGTTCTTTTTTAGAATTTTCATATGCTACTTCACCTGCACTTGGAATTCTTTTTTGATTCCAAAACCTTTATTGTTTGGAACTTTAGGAACATGAATATTAATCTCTTCTGGAATAGGAATAACAACACCCAAAAGCATGCATACGACCTCACCATCTGTTTTGCTTTTCAATCTAGGATAAATATAATCACTCTCAAATTCCTTCAACAGCATTTACTGTTTCTCAGCAAACAAAGCCAATCTCTTTTTTTCATATCTTACAATATCCAAACATGATTCAAAACTATAATATGAATCATTTAATATCTTTACATTCTCACAATCACCTGAATCGGATTGAACAGAACTAAAATGATAATTTCTTGATATCACATCCTTTCTCAATCTTTTCAACATTTACCTTTCAGAAATTTCTTTCACACCACATCTCATCATTATTATAAAAGCATGTCTGCATAAAACACCCATACGCTTAAAATGTTCACAACTGCAATTTATTTCTTTCTTTTCAGCTTTTATTTCAACCTGATACAAAAACAAAATTTACACATTTACATTCATATAAAAATACTAATATCAACACTCAAATATTCATATATTTATATAATATTCATATATGAATATATGAATATTGATATTCATATATGAATATTCTCATATTCATATATGAATATTCTCATATTCATATATGAATATTATTACTTTTTTTCATAAAAAAATTAGTAAAATTACCTTAAATTCATTTTTAAATTCACTTTTACTGTTGTTGTGATGCACAATGTAAACTTCCCAACCATCTTCAATACCAACATATGAGTATGTACAGAAAAAACATGCTTTATATATTTCTTTTTGCACCTCAAAAAATAATGTACTTGTATAAACCTTTGATGCTTGCAGTTCTATTTCTCAAGGTGTTTGCATTTTATATGATGCTTTCTTTGATGCCTTATCAAGCTCTCGTTGAATATTCCTTTGCTTTCGAATGGTAGTGTCGTAATTCATCATGAAATTCAAAAGTAAGTTCCCACTTTCTGAGTATGTATTAAAGAATGAATTCATACTCCCTGACCTCGATGTAGTCTTCATCAAACCACACATTGGAATATCACTAAAATATCCAGATATCCATGAATCACGTATTGTAAACATGTCTTTAAACCATCTTGTGTCTTCAAGATTGAATTCCTTCATAAGCAAACCCCACTTTACCTCAAAAACATCAGGTTTCATATTAATATCTCAAACAAGCTTCGAAAACCTTTTTCTAAAGTCTGTGTTCGTAAATAAATCATCTGATATCTGTATTAAAACAAAAAAATATTCATAAATGAATAAATAATCATAAGTAAAATGTGACATCCCCAAAATCACGGCCAGAAAAGACCGATTTTCATTTATGCTTTTAAAATAAATTCAGAGTAAATCCTTTTGATTTGAAAGAGTTGCGGAATTTGTTCCCAAAACAAAACATGATAAAATAATATTTATCAAAGCATTTCATCAAGAGATGCATTTTCATTATATAATTAAAACTCGGGGTGTCATGTTCCGATACAGACCATTAAGCATAAACAATAACATTACAAGTCATTCAATAAATATATACATATACAGACTTGTAAACAAAACAACTTGATGGTTCGTCCATCTTACGCCCTTGCGCCACTTCCTGTAATACAAATAAAACTGAGTGGGTCAGGCTTGGGAGCCTGGTGAGCATATAGGGTTTTCAACCCACAATAAATAAATTATATTTAATTTCACCAACCAATCACTATCCCGATTACCCATTCCCGTTATCCTCACTTTACGTCCCTAAAACAACATCTATCTCAAGGGACCTAATCTAGGATTTTCATCGGGACGGACATTACAGCCAAGGGGTTTCCTCAACAATAGATATCCTGAGGCAACCATGAGGGGGATAGAGTACACCGGTGAACACATCGTTCACAACACCCACAGGTTATGAACCTGCTAGCGTTCCACGAGACTGTCTAGAAGGAGTCTGTGGTCGTTATCCATACTCCGCTGAATAACTAGGTCAACAACAACAACAACAACATCGAGGCCTCTCATATGTTGATTACACACCAACTATCTACCCATGTTCTACCCAACATATTAGTAGATAAAAATATACATTTTTATACATAGTTTAAAACCTGTATATCATTTTCATTCAATATATATTCCACATAACAGATGAGGCATACCCACATAACACGTATTTCATAGAAAACAAATCGGATCTATGAGATTAAAGAGAGTGAATATACATTCATGTACATAACAACAAAACTATACACATAACACGTATTTCGTATAAAATACTTCATAATTATGCGTTAGAAGAAAGTAACTACACACTCACTTGATCAGAAGATGATCAGACAGCACTACGGCTTGCAGAAGTCGTAATCCTCAGCAGATCTGGAAGATCTCTACGAAAATCGAACTTCTCGCGGGCAGAGCTTCGGCTCGGAAAACCGCACTTCTCGGGATCTTCGGGATCTCGGGACTCGCTTTGGGACTCGGGAATGATACCAGAGCTTCAGGGTGGCTTCGGGGGTAAAAACGCAGAGCTTCGGCACAAAGAGGAGAAGAAATTAGCAAGAATACTCGGACCCCTCGCATCCTATTTATAGGAGGCTGATGCCTCAGAGTACGCGGGGCGTACGCTTGTACGCGGGGCGTACAGGCTCCGAAATGCGTCACTGCATGCGTCATCCGAAGTGTCGACACTCTGGCTGTACGCGGGGCGTACTCGAGTACACTGGGCGTACTCCGGATGAGTCCGGTGACTCGTCTTCGGATAAGGCCATTATTTAATAATTAAATTTAATTATTAATTATTTAATAAACTTCGAAAATTCATATCTTCTTCATACGAATTCCGTTTTCGACGTTCTTTATATCCACGCGAAGGTGAGACTACGCTCTACAACTTTCGTTTAGACTTCGTTGGCTAATTTTGACTTCCATTTTTATTATTTATTTTTAATAGGCCGGGACAGAAAATTTCGTTATAAATTCATAACTTCT